TTGAGTTTGTTTCTATTTCCATCTTCTTGATACCTGACTTAGTGTAAGGGTTGTTTTCACTAATTTTTAGATCTGTGGAAGATAGTTTTTGGGTGGTCGTTTGCCTTAGTTGAGCTCTGGCTTCCTTGAGTTCTTGTCTAACTCTAATAGAAGCTTTCAGTTCTTCACAATCTTTTTTGATATGTCCCTCTTTCTCACAGAAAAAGCAGACTTTTGGGGCTTCTTTCCAGTCTATAGAGACTTTGTGATCGTCGATATGTGTACTTCTGGGAAGTCTAGTTGCTAGTTCAGTATCCTCAGTGGTTTCGAAAGTTACCAACCATTGGTCTGAGCACACTGTAGTATCTTCGAAGAAAAGTGGTTTTATTGAGACTACTTGTCCTATATCTTTAAATGCTTCTAGAATAAAGTCTCCTATTGTATTGGCGTCACCCTTGTTTAGATTTCTTTCAAGTGGAGGGCTTTTTGAAAGAGCTATCTTTTTGGCTCACTTTTTTTTTTGCTCTAGAAACATGAACATCATAACTATGATCCGATTCAACCGATAAGTACTCAGAATCAGAACCTGTCCCAGAATCACTATTAGAAGAATCACTGTCTGATTCTGAATCAACATTTTTACTGACATGGTTTACATAAGTTTTTCTTCTGCTTTTTTTCTTTTAGAACAAGTGCGAAAAGTATGACCTATCTTATTATAGATAGAACATCTGCATTGAGATTTTTTAATAACTTTAGTAGCTTTAGCCAAATTTAAAAACAATTCTGATATACCTTTAGTAATTCCATCTATGCCATCAGTACTTGGGGTATTATCTTTTTTATCTTTAGAGAATTGATTTGAAATCTTTTCCATTATATCTATAAGATTTTGGAAAAGGAATTTACCTTTAGCAGTAGAATTTAAACATTCTAGCACATCACTACCCTAAAAATATTCTTGGTCATTCAGGCATAAATTGGGATCACGATATATTTTACTTGGTTCCATCTAACTAGGCTGTGTTAACTGCCTTTCTTGAGAAGCAAATTGAATGAACTTAAGTGAATTTATCATACTTTCTACTTTAGCTCAAGATATATCACTACTATCAAAACTCGATTTATTTTGTGATGGTGAAATTGTTAGCTGAGTATGAACAGCTAGAACTTGAAGAATCTGATTAGAGATTGAGCCTACATAGCCAAGTAAAGGCCGATATTCAAGCCACATATTTTTAAGTTCTGTGAAAAATGTATTAATACTAGCAGGATTAGCAATTTTTATCCAAGTATAAAGCTTACCTAATAAATAACCCTTAAGAAGTTCTAAGATATTAGTATTATTATCAGCAATTCTTAATAAAAAAGGTTGAATTCTAGTCTCATAATATTCTGGGTTATTAATTGGCAAGAATTTCTCTTGAGCTAATCTTTGAGTAGTAACTTGTTGCATTCTAATAATTTTTGTCTGATATTTATATCATAATCAAACAATGAAATGGGCTGGAGTATTAATGTTATTACTATTATGTTGAGCAGGTATGTTTGTATATTTTTTAGCCATCTTACTTTTTAAAATTTCTGCTCGAAGTGCATCATTAAAGGTGGCTGCCGTGATTGCTAGTAAAGTTAATATTTTATTAATATCTTAATACCATTTATCTAGTGAAATTTGTCCGCTATAATTTTTAAATTCCACAATTAATGGTGATATATTAGTTAAGTCTCCTGTAATAGTTGCCATATTCAGTAGATTATTATGTAATAATAAAATTTGAGCTTGTAAATTCAAAATTAATTGCTCAGAATTTCGAGCTCGATTTTTCCACTTACCCTACTTATTGTCAAGTTGGATATCAGCAAGAAAAAGATTATTTTCTAGAGTCTTGCATTTTATCTTCTATTTAATATATCGATTTCTCATAATATCAAAAGGATGAGTAGTAATTGCTTCATCTGTTTTGCAATCTCACAATTGCCATTGTGTTTGTTTATTCAAGAGATGCAATGCAAATTTTTCTTGAAGCAACTCTGATATGTGTCTTTTTTGTACCCAGATTGTGATTCGACTATCAAGTTCTTGTGATTTGAAAATATTGTGTTGTGTTCTGTGAGCCTCATAAGCCTGGTAGAGAAGATCATAGTCATTTTGTAGTGTAGCTAACTGAGTTTGTGAATTAGTTAACTGGGTTTGCAATTTATTGGCTGGGTCTGCAAATCCACTACTTGGTTTTCTACATTAATTGCGTGAATATTTGCTCATAAATATATTTCTAGTACCAACCTTTCTAATCTTTTACCTGCATCAAAAATTATATTAAGATAATCTACAATATTATTTAATATAGATGCTGTTATGATTGGGCTTTGAAAATACTATCTTATATTGTCAACCTCTTGTTGAATTCTATAATTCTGGATTATAGCTTGGTTTTCAGGCAAAGATAATCAGAGTGATCCTGGTTGTGCTATATTTATAGCAAAGCTATAGTTTTTTGAATCTATAGTATCATTGCTATTTTTATATGAAATAAATATTTTTATTTTTTATTAAGTTTGTTGTTTTTATTCTGAAAAAATGCTAACCACTTTTCTAAATGATCTATATAATTTTTTCGCTTTTCAGACTCTTAAAATATATTTTCTAACTGTTTTATAAGATTAGAAATTTCTAATCGCAATGGACCTAGTTCTATATTTTAAACCAAAATTTTTTTTTTAAGATATTTAATATAATCTTCTTTTAAGCTTAGATCCTGTTGTAATTTGCAAACCTGATTTTGTATTGCTAATAAAGCACTTACAAATTTTTTGATTGTTTTACTAGGTAGGAACACTACTGTATTTGATGATATTGTACAAGTCTATAATATATCAACTTTTCCAGAAACTTTGCCAAATAATAATTTATTGATATAGTAAAATGTATTGAAAATGAACCAACCTAGTATTGTAATTGGTACCGATGAGGAATTGGCCCTAGTTTGTTAGTTATTATTCTATCAGCCCACAGGGTATTATTTCAACCTTTGAAAACTATGGAAAGATCTTAAAGTGAAGGGATATCAGTTCCCATATAAAAAGGTATATGAGTGGCTTATAAACCAGAATAAATGGCAAAAACATGCCCCATCACCAAAAAATATTCCACGGGTTAGTTATAAAAAAATTTCATGTCCAAACTGCATATATATGTATGACCTCTTATTTCTTACTCATGATTATTACAAAAGTAAAAAATGGATAGTAGTGCTTAATATAATAGATGTGGGTAGCCGGGTTAAAGCTTCAGTTCCACTTATATCAAAAAAATCTAGTAAGGTTGCCAAAGTATTCAGGAAAATTTATGATAACTTTACTAATCTTTTATCTATCCTCAATTGCTACAATATAATGGTAGAACAGAATTCAAAAAATCAGTAAGTCAGCTAATGGAAGTGCATAATGTCACAATTTGAGTAATTAGTGTATATAGCCACTGAGGTCTAGCTCTTGTAGAACGTTTCAATAAAACTCTAGCAGAAATACTATATAAAGTCCAATATGCTGTTGAAAGTATAACTTTGAACCCTAAACTAATAAGAGCATGGGTTAAGCATTTGCCAAAAGTTATCGATTACCCAAACAATTATCCAACACGTCTCATCCGAGCTCTGGGTTCTACATAGTGAGGTTTAGCACCAATAAAAGCCATCAAATTAGAAAAGGTTGAATCTCAGCCATCTACAAAATATAAGCATTCTGTTGGAAAGGATAAGAAAAATAAGTTAAAAAAGAGGGATAGTGTTTGTTACCTGCTTGCTAATGCAGAATGGAAAGGAGGTATGGAAAATCAGAAGTGTGCAACGGATCCCAATTCAGTCCAAGTATTCATAAAATTCGTAAAATTGTAATAATGAAGAACGAACTAATTTTATATTATCTCGGAAGTGATAACAATAAATATCCTCCAAAGCAGGATTTGTGTGAGAGGAGCTCATGCACGTAGATTTAGAAAAACTTCAGTATCCACCTCAGAGTATATTGGAAGAAAAAACTTATTTCAGATCTATTAATTTTGTTCATACTATTAATAAAATGGCTAAAGCTAAAGAGTATACAAAGAAGCGTAATGGAAAATATCTTGGTAAAACTGGCCAAATAAATAATTTCAATGTATATCTCTGGTCTTGTAAAAACAGAAAACATTAGTAGGAATATCCATATTCATTAATAGCTATGAAATTTAAATGGTATCCAATTTGTTTCCATCATAGTAATAAGTAAAGATATAGATATATTTTTGAGGATCTGTTAGGTAAGAAATTTCCATCTTGTAAACTGTCATTTTTGAATGGAATGCAATTAGATAGGTATAGCGAAGAATTAAAATTGGCATACAAATTCCAGGGGCCTCAATATTTTTCTGAGAATCCAATATTCTATAAGCAAGGCAAGATAGATTTAGATGAGCAAAAAAAGCGCGATCAAAAAAAGCAAAATATATGCAAAGAGCGAGGTATAGATCTGATTGAAATACCATTCGACTCAGATTTATATATATTTATAAAAAGTGAATTACAAGAGAGAGATTATTTATCGCGAAAGAATAAACACATAAGTATTACTTAAATTAATCAGAATGGAAGAAGAAAAAATGCCTATATTTATATACAATATCGATGAGACATCTAACAAATTCTCAGAATGAATAAAAGATAATAAGTATTCACCAGATGCCCTATTCAGATTACTGGTATGTGGAGGCTCCTATAGTGGAAAAACTAATATGATTATAAATCTTATGCTTGGTAACAAACTACAACATATGTTCAAGTGAAAAAAAGATCAGCAGTATATTAGAAATAATGATCTTGTATTAATAGGCAAGCATTTTGAGCCTAAATAGTAACTTGTACAAAATAGCTATCAGATCTTTGCTAATAGCCTGAAACCATATCAAGAGGATGTTATATTCAAAAGGTTATCTTCAAATAAAATTCCAGATATAACTAAATTCACACCAGAATGAAGTACAGTTGTTATGTTTGAGAATTTATGTGCTGAGCCAAAGAAAGTACAAGAATGAATTATTTCATACTTCATTAGTAGCTGGCATCAAAATATCTTATCCATATATATGAGCCAGAAATATATACAAACTTCTAAAATTATCCATGAAAATCTGAGCCATCTTGCATTATTTAACAATAGGGGTCCCGAGATGACATTTATAGAATTGTGCAATAATATACAGATAATCCAAAAAAAGCATTCAAAATTATTGATAAATATTTGTGGGATCAAGATTTCATAGTCTTGACTTTATTAAGGCAGTTGATGATTCTCTCGCAATTAGATTGGGTTGGGACACACCATTGAAATTAGATAAATAGAATAAGGCTTGACAATTAATAATTATTTTTTCTGCTATAATTTTGGCATATTAATATAAATACATCCTATTCACTACTTTTTATATTATTGAGAAGATGCACGTCTCCAGCTAGTGTTGAAATTGAGGTGAGTGTGAAAAAAATAAACTTGCCATATTTTTGAAAAAGTGCATTCTATGTATTATCTACAATAGAAGATTTTTGTATTCTGTAAAATAGGCTTATATGCAAAACTTTAAATATATATTATACTGTTAATTTCAAAAGATGTTTCTAAAATCTATCCTGTAATTGGTTTTTCTTTCTATCTATATATTGCAATTTTCTCAGCATTCTACAGATTGAACTAATCTCAAGTTTGAGGATTTTTCACTTTACGAGAAGTTAGGCCTAGAAATTTTTCATCATCTGGAATATTATTATTTGGTAAACTCAACCAAGCAAGTTGTGTATTTGATGGCTCCCTTTCTTTGAATCATCTCCAAGCATTTTGAATAAT